TTGCTAGGATCACTTTCATGCTTAACCACTTGACTATATATCATTAAATGCACATAAACATACATGATCAGTCGAACAACACATCGGAGGAAGATACAATGCTATCACTATGAGATAAAAAGTATGTACAATATAACATTATCACAGGCCACAAAAACTACATCATAAAGGTCTGCATCAAATATAAATTACAATTACAACAAAACCTAACAAAATAATTCATCTACACAACACTTATGTCGCCTTTTTTCTTTTCCTTGAATTAGTCGTCCACGGTGTTTTGACCATAAAACTTTTATACCTTATTCTTGGATGACCTTTAAGTCGCGTATACATATTTGACCCTTGACAATGCAACTTTGATTCTTCTGTTGCTTCAACATGATGCTTCATCTCTTTAATACTACTACCTTCAAATACTGGAGAAAAGTACATCCCACATGATGGAGGATTTACTTCTTCTGTTGATAGTTTTGCTTCATCTAACAATTCGTGTAATTGTGTTACATCTTCCTCTAGTTTTTCAATTGTTGATTCCTGTTGTTTGGTTACGGCGATCAACATTTGATTCTCAGCCATAATTCCACACAACATATTAGTCAAATTTTTCACTTCTTCAGATGCATAAGTGGTATGTCCTAATGCTTCTTTCACTATATCATGCGCAAGCTCTTCATTTCTGACGCACAAGTCATGAATAACCTATGAGTAACAAACAATGTCAAATTGAAATCACATTTTGACATATGGTAAAGAAATATTGCAAACAAGTTCTACTAAATTTTTAATGAACTAACCCTATTATGATTAAACGCAACTACAATCTTGCTTTCCCCAATTACAACAGAGGTCCATTGTAAAAATCTCGGAAATCGACTTATCTCATTACATGATTTGGTATTATAAAATACATGCTCCATAACCCATACCTGAATTCATATAAACAAAATGCACAATATCAAATCAGCTGACTATATTGAAAGTATTCTAACAAAACATATATCGTAATTTAAGATTTACCTGTAACAAAAACACACATCCTAGTACACGGAAGTGTGAACAATTTCTTCGTTTCTTCAAATAAATCGATGCTTCACATAAACTTCCAACCAGATATTCATACACTGCTTTTCCCCAATTATACTTTCCAAGACAAGATATATTATCTAATAACTTAAAAAATCCACAATGTGCGATACCTACTTTATTAGGGAATAAAAACTCTGACAATATGATCGATTATTTTAGGTTCTAATCGATCATTAACATACGTTAGACAGCGGTGTACTGTTAACCGCTATCTAATATACATTTTTAAAAGCGGTTCTTAACAACCGCTATCTAAGGTCACGCGACAATGTAGAAAAATGAGATCATATAATCGATTATTTTAGGTTATAATCGATCATTAACAAACATTAGACAGCGGTTTAGTTTTAACCGCTATCTAATATATTTTGTTAAAAGCGGTTCGTATCAACCGCTATCTAAGGTCGCTTGGTGACTCTCAGTCAGATTCGCTCAAGCGACTATGTAATCGCTTGACCGACAAGTGAATATTATATGTGGTGAACCAAGATTTATTAGCTGGCTAACTGTGTAGAACGTTTCGTCTATGGTTTACAGTTCGCTCAAGCGAGACTGACACCGCTTGAGCGATAATAGAAAAATGAGATAATATGATCGATTACTTTAGGTTATACTCGATTATTAACATTGCTTAGACAGCGGTTTAAATTTAACCGCTATCTAACATATGCTTATCTACGGTCGCGTTCAGAGGCGCTCAAGCGACTAGGTAATCGCTTGAGCGACAGCTGAATCTTATATGTGGTGAACCAAGATTTATTAGATGCCTAACTGCGTAGGACGTTTCATCAGTGGTTCACCAGTCGCTCAAGCGAGGATGACATCGTTTGAGCGATGGAACCTTAACCAATAGGTACACTCGGGTTCTATATCGCTCAAGCGATGTTCTGAACGCTTGAGCGAAAAGTGAGTCCAATATGTGGTGAACCAACTTAAATTATTTGGCTAACTACGTTTGACGTTTCGTAATTGGGTCCAAACTCGCCCAAGCGACACACTGATCGCTTGAGCGACGAAGTCTTCAAACAAGGGAGACTCTCGGGTTCTGTCCCGCTCAAGCGACCGTGTAAGCGCTTGAGCGAAAAGTGAGTACAATATGTGGTGAACCAACTTAAATTATTTGGCTAACTGCGTTTGAAGTTTCGTCATTTTGTATAAACTCGCTCAAGCGATAAATGTTTCGCTCGAGCGACGCAGCCTTCAAACAGGGGAGACTCTCGGGTTCTATCGCGCTCAAGCGACGTTTTGAACGCTTGAGCGAAAAGTGATTCTCATATGTGGTGAACCTACTTAAATTATTTGGCTAACTGCGTTTCACGTTTCGTCATTGGGTATAAACTCGCTCAAGCGATAAAGTTATCGCTCGAGCGACGAAACCTTCAAACAATTGAGACTCTCGGGTTCTTTATCGCTCAAGCGATTTTATGACCGGTTATATGATCGGTTATATTTTGCTAATGAAGTCAAATCCGTTATTGACAAAGTATTGGGTACTTGAAGAAGTTGCTTCTGAGTGGGTGCGCTTCGAGCTTCCCAGTGGCAGAATTGTTGCACTGAAAAAGCTTCACAAAGCAGAATCTGAAAATCCATCCTTTTACAAGAGCTTTTGCAACGAGACCAAGATCTTGGCAGAAATTCGCCATCGTAAGAATTTATGATGTGGAAGCTCAAGAGCTGAATTGGAGAAAGAGGATAAATATTGTTAAAGGGATAGCGTATGGCTTGGAGTTCAGGATGATCGATCAGAATACAATTATGACCGATCATAACTCTTTTAATCGATTAAATCTCGTTTCAATCGATTAAAACAACTAGAAAATTTCTACACAGCTTTTTAATCGTTTAAAACTTACTTTTATCAGTTAAAATAATTTGAGAAGTTTTACAAGAAAGTTTTGCAGTATTTCAATCGATTGAATCACGAAACAATCGATTATCAACTTAGAAGATTTTTTTGTAAAGTGTTTTAATTGATACAAACGTTGTCGTATCAGTTAAAACAAATCTGTTAAACAATCAAGAACGTATTAATGGATTAAAAGAAGTTTTAACAGATTAAAACTGCACTTTTAACAGATTAAAAGAATCTTTTAACAGATTAATTAAACCAGCAGTTGTGAAAATGTTCTATAAAAACAGAGTTGCTTGAACTTTTTAAACACACATTGAATATCATCTTTTACACATCCTTGAGCAATCAATAAAGCAAACTTCAGCACTCTTTTCAAGAAAGATTCGCATCAGTTTTTGAGAAGTTCTTTGAAAGTCGCAGGGTCGCTCAAGCAACACACAGTGATGTTCAACTCCAACGACACGGACGAAGCCAAGCGACAGGAAGTCGAGCGCCGTCAAGAGCGAGATGGAGAAATTTTACCCTAAGTCGAGGGAGAAGAAGTCGAGCGAGGAAGAGCGCGAATGTGAAAAGCGAAAAGGATAAGAAGGACCTTTTTCTAACATTTAGATAGCGGTTATTTGGCCAACCGCTATCTGAACTATACATTATGACATATATGACTTTAAATAGCGGTTATTTGCCCAACCGCTATGTAAGGAGAAAAGTTGAACCTTTACCAAACGACACTGAACTCCTGCAAATCCTGGAAGGAGAAAAGTGTACCCTTGAGTTACTTTTTCTCATATGAGCTCGTACAAAGGCGCCAAGAGCTTTCTTATTCGTGATTGTAATATGTGGGCTGAAAACGCGCCAAGCGACTTTTTGAAAGCTTTCCCTCATATGTTTACTTTTAAGAGCGGTGAACATATTAACCGCTCTGCAAAGTCAATCAAATGTCGCTTGAGCGAGAATATAGTCGGTCAAGCGAAACACAACCCGAGAATCACCATTCTATCAGGTAGCTTCGCTCGAGCGATGATACAGTCGCTTGAGCGAATTTAGAAAAATGAGAGAATATGATCGATTACTATAGCTTATAGTCGATTATTCACAGACCTTAGACACGGTTAACGTTTAACCGCTATCTAATATATATTTTTAAAAGCGGTTCTTATTAACCACTATGTAAGGTTGCTTCGGGTTCAGTCGCGCTCAAGCGACTCTGTAGTCGCTTGAGCGAAAGTTGAATGTTATATGTGGTGAACGAAGATTTATTAGATGGCTAACTGCGTAGGACGTTTCGTCTGTCGTCACCAGTCGCTCAAGCGACTGTATCTTTGCATGATGTAAGTAGGTAAACTAGTGTATTGTAATATGAATATAATTTAAAGGAGATGGTTGCTATTATATTGTTGTCAATGGTAGGCACTGTATCCTTCATCGTTTATCTAGCATGGGAGATATAAATGAAAACAGAGATGTAGCTGTCATGTTAACAACGTTTCAATGACTTAGTGACGTTTCAATCGATTAAAACATGTTTCACTCGATTAAAATCACTTAAAGGGTCAGGATGATCGATTAGAAGAAAATTATGACCGATCAGAGTCAGTTATGATCGATCAGATTTTAGTTATGGCCGATCAGAACTCTTTTAATCGATTATATCTCATTTCAATCGATTAAAACAACTTGGAAATTTTCTTTACAGCGTTTTAATCGATTAAAACTTATTTTTATCAGTTAAAATAACTTGAAAAGTTTTATAAGAAAGTTTTGCTGTATTTCAATCGATTGAATCGCGAAACAATCGATTAAATCAACTTAGAAGATTTTTTATAAAGTGTTTTAATTGATATAAACGTTGTCGTATCAATTAAAACAAATCTGTTAAAGAATCAAGAACGTATTAATGGATTAAAAGAAGTTTTAACAGATTAAAACTGCACTTTTAACAGATTAAAAGAATCTTTTAATAGATTAATTAAACCAGCAGTTTTGAAAATCTTCTATAAAAACAGTTTGGCTTGATCTCAGCCTTCTCTTCTAACATATCCTAACCGGGATGGGATAGAAGGACCTCTGATTGCAGAGCCGGAAGCCAACCATGGGGAATCCGTGACACCGAGCAATGATGCTCAAATCGCTCCGTTGCATCTACTCTCATTTCAGATGAGCATTCTTCTCAACTTGGCGCAGGTGTCCGATGTACTAGCTCTACTCCAACCAATCCGGAGACTACAAGACCTTCACCTCAATCTCCACCGGTTCCCACTGAAAACAAAGCATTACCTAAGGTAGATCATTTATCTCTCAACACTCCTTCCAGTTTGCCATAAACCTTCTTGGCTAACTGTTGACATCATCTTCAATCTCAGACTATTGGGATTGGAGCAAGAGTGGAATGGAAGAAAGCTGTCCTTATCTTCTCCTCCAACCGGTATCTCCTCCCTGATCGAATATTATGATCGATTATTATCCAATTATATATATGACTTTAGATAGCGGTTATTGGGCCAACCGCTATCTGAACTATACTTTAGATAGCGGTTCACAGCGAACCGCTATCTAATATATTTTTAAATAGGTCGCTATCACCTCCTTCCCCTTCTCAATTTGGGTACTTGAAGAAGTCAGTGTCATGGGTGCGCTTGGAGCTTTTTCTTTTGCCAGCCATGGTTTATGTTTATGACTATTGAGATAGTCAACAGAGAACAGAGAATCTGTGAGTAATTAGAAAGCAAAGAATACATTAACCTCGATGGTTGTTGTATGTTTCTTCTTTACAATGCAAACGAATTCAAAACCGTAATCAACAACCAAATTAAACCCTAAACCAAATGAATAGAACCGAATATTTAAACATAGACAAAGCGAGAGCGAGAGGAAGAAGAGCCAGACGGAGAAGACACCCGAGAGCGAGAGGAAGAAGAGCCAGACGGAGAAGACACCCGAGAGCGAGAGGAAGAACAAATATTACACTTTTTACCATTACATCCCCATTTTTACAATATTACATCTCTACCCCTCTACAATTTAGCTAGTCAAACCCTTATTTTTCATTAATTTCTTTTTAACCCCGGTTGTCGAACGGATGTTTGTTTTCAGTTGTCAAAGAATCGTTTTCCTATCTGAACCCATACAATTTTACTAATCAAACCCTTATTTTTAATTAATTTCTTTTTAGCCCCGGTTGTCTAACAGTTGTTTGTTTTCGGTTGTCAAAGAATCGTTTTCCCGGTTTTAAACATCCGTTCCACAACCCAATAAAAAAATAATAAATGAACAGTGTTACTGAATAAAAAAATATTAAATGTACAGTATTTTTATTATTAAATAATTCATTTCTTTGCCATCTCTCCTCCTTCTCCGATTCTCATTTTTGTAGCACAGAACTTTCTGTTCCTTCGTCGACCTCGACCTTCGCGGTTGTGAACTTGCCCAACTTGTCAGTCGAACTCACTCACCACCGCATTGTACAATTTTTCCGGCAACATCGTCAACGTCGTTCCGTTGGCATTTCAAATTTAAATAATTTTTTTTTTAAATTGGGACTTAAGATAGCGGTTTCCAGAACCGCTATCTAAACCTCCTAAAGAGAGCGGTCCTAGAAATAACCGCTATTAAAAATATATTTTAAATAGCAGTTCAGCAGGAACCACTATTATATGAACACTTTTAAGAGCGCTTAATACTTTGACCGCTCTTAAAAGTGATCATATAATAGCAGTTCCACGTGAACCGCTCTTAAAAGTGAATCAGATTTCGCTCGGGCGAGACTAGTGTCGCTCAAGCGGAACTCAACCCGAGAATCCCCAATCTTAGCATGTGGAGTCGCTCGAGCGATGTAAATTTCGCTTGAGCGATCGTTGACTTGTGGCTAAACGTCGATCAAAGTTAGCCGCATAATGTAACATGAGTGAGCACATGTTTGAATCAGATTTCGCTCGAGCGAGACTAGTATCGCTCAAGCAAAACTCAACCCGAGAATCCCCGATCGTAGCAGGTTGCGTCGCTCGAGCGATGTTAATTTCGCTTGAGCGAGATTAGAAAAATCAGATAAAATGATCCATTATTTTATGTTATAATCGATTATACGTTATGATGATCGATGATAAGTGGTATATGATCGGTTATATTAAGCTAAAATGAATATTATTACATTAGTTTTGAATTGCATTACGTTGATGTATACTAATAATTTCTTCTTCAACATGCAGGACATAAGTGTTAATATCTACTACATAGAATTTTGCAGTGTTATTTCAACTGCACATGTTAACAATATAACAATGTTGATTGACGAGAGCTTTTTTTGATTCAATGTCTTGTTGGCTGGATAACGTCATCAGTAGTGTAGACTATACATTCTGATTTTGTTAGAGTATATATGATAGGACATAAACGTGCAACAGTAGTATAGACTATACATTCTGATCTTGTAAGAGTTGTGGATGTAAATATAACAATGTAACAGCAATTGTAATTTCTTCAATGCATTTATCAGCAGTTGATGGTCCATACATTTACGTAACAATCATCGGTTGTAGACATGTATCAGACATGTGATAAAAGACAAGTTGAGTTTTTAAACAAGTTTATCAGCTTTCTTAAACAAGTTTTTAACTGATACAGCTTTGATAGAACCGTTTAAAATTACTTAGAATATTCAGAGAAGTGTTTTTACAGTATTTTAATCGATACAACTTGAGTTTAATCGGTTAAAACCACTTGGAGTTCAGGATGATCGATCAGAATAAGATTATGACCGATCAGAACTAGATATTATCGATCAGAAATTAATTATGCCCGATCAGAATCTATTATGATCGATCAGAATTTAGATATGATCGATCAGAACTTTTTTAATCGATTAAATCTCGTTTCAATCGATTAAAACAACTTAGCAAATTTCTACACAGCGTTTTAATCGATTAAAACTTATTTTTATCAGTTAAAATAACTTGAAAAGTTTTACAAGAAAGTTGTGCAGTATTTCAATTGATTGAATCACGAAACAATCGATTAAATCAACTTAGAAGATTTTTTTGTAAAGTGTTTTAATTGATACAAACGTTGTCGTATCAGTTAAAACAAATCTGTTAAAGAATCAAGAACGTATTAATGGATTAAAAGAAGTTTTAACAGATTAAAACTGCTCTTTTAACAGATTAAAAGAATCTTTTAACAGATTAATTAAACCAGCAGTTTTGAAAATCTTCTATAAAACCAGAGTTGCTTGAACTTTTTAAACACACATTGAATATCATCTTTTACACATCCTTGAGCAATCAATAAAGCAAACCTCAGCACTCTTTTCAAGAAAGATTCGCATCAGTTTTTGAGAAGTTCTTTGAAAATCTTTCTTGAGGCAACTTGTTTTCTTTTGAAGAAGAAACACTTACAGCAGAATTGCATAAACTGGTTTGAGCATTCTAGTTTCTTCTTTTTCATTTCTTTACATTCTTTTTGTATTGTTTGGTGCCTGGAATTTGGGCACTGGTTTCTCTGCAGCTGGAATTTGGTTGTAGAGGTTGTCAAGAACTGGAATTTGGTTCTTGGTAAAAGGTTAGGTGTTGGTGCCTGGAATTTGGGCACTGGGTTCTCTGCAGCTGGAATTTGGTTGTAGAGGTTATCAAGAACTGGAATTTGGTTCTTGGTGAGAGGTTGTTTGCAGGAACTGGAATTTGGTTCTTGTGGTAGATTAAGTGTAAGATTGTAAATCTGTAAAACATTTGATCTAGTGGAACCCAGCTGGAATTTGGCTGGAGACTGGACGTAGCCCTGGTATTGGGTGAACCAGTATAAAACACCGGTGATATCTTTCTTAACCTTTCTCTATTTTAATTCTGTCGCTGCATTTATATTGATTGATTGCTTTGTAATTCAAGAACAGATCTGGAATCTTAATTTTTGAATTAGATAATCTGTTATTTGCGAAAAACTTTTAAAGATCAATTCACCCCACCCTCTTCAACCAAGACTCTTTTTCTAACATTAAGATAGCGATTATTTGGTCAACCGCTATCTGAACTATACATTATGATCGATTATTATCCAATTATAATCGATCAGTTTGACACATATGACTTTAGATAGCGGTTATTTGGCCAACCGCTATCTGAACTATGCATTATGATCGATTATTATCCAATTATAATCGATCAGTTTTACATATATGACTTTAGATAGCGGTTATTCGGCCAACCGCTATCTGAACTACATTTATTATAGAGGTTATTTTGCCAACCGCTATCTGAACTACGTCGATATAAGTGAGTGGTTATAAAATAACTTTTATTATAAACATACATTAAACAGCGGTTAACAGATAACCGCTATCTAATATATATTTTTAAAAGCGGTTCTGATTAACCGCTATCTAAGGTTGCCTCACGCTCAAGCGACTATGAAATCGCTTGAGCGACAGTTGAACCTTAGCAAACGAAACCATCGCTTAAGCGACAAAACCTTCAATTGGTGTGAATATTTGTGTATGAAGTAGATTAAACTGTTAATTTGGCATGAATATTTTTCAATTGGTGTGTTTGGATGTACCAGAGAGTCATGTAATATTTTTTTGCACAAAAGCCTGATAATTTGTTAGATTAATTTGTCAAATTTTTAATTGTTTTCTATAATTCTGTGAATATATAATTCTGTCAAATTCTGTGAATATATAATGTCAAATTTACATTGATGTTTATATGTCTACAACAATTAAAATTCACAAGTCATTCATTATTACAATCCTTCAATTTCATGTTAACAAATTGTTCCACCATTTCGTTGTACACAAGACACTATATAATTGCATCCTGTCTTTTCTTTCTGGTGGCACTGCACCAACAGGGTTGACATATGACCTGATGAAGAACATGACCTCTTGCCTTTGTCCTCAGCCTGGCACCGACAAAAGAAAAAGAGTGTCAAAGAGACTGAGGATTATAATGAAACATCACTATAATGCCAGTTTAAATACAATTGGACAAATCTGTTATTAACAAAGTATTGGGTGTCAAGGACCTTTGGGGCTATCACCTCCTTCGTGGTCACAGTTTTGGTACTTGAAGAAGTCGCTTCTGAGTGGGTGCGCTTGGAGCTTTTTCTTTTGCCAGCCATGGTTTATGTTTACGACTATTAAGATAGTCAACAGTAAACGAAAACAGATAACAGAGAATCTGTGAGTAATTAGAAAGCAAAGAATACATTAATCTCGATGGTTGTTGTATGCTTCTTCTTTACAATGCAAACGAAATCAAACAAGATGAACCATCAAATTAAAATTCAAAATCGTGATCAACAACCATATTAAACCCTAAACCAAATGAACAGAACCGAATATTTAAACATAGACGAACCAGAGCCGGGAAAGAACGAATGTTTCTTTTACGTGCGCCGACAAGAGCGAGAGGAAGAACAGCGAGACAGAGAAGACAAGCGAGAGCAAGAGGAAGAATATATATTTCACTTTTTACCATTACATCTCCATTTTTACAATATTACATCTCTGTCCCCTAAAATTTTACAATTTTACTAGTCAAACCCTTATTTTTAACTAAATTCTTTTTCGCCCCAATTGTCAAACGGATGTTTGTTTTCCGGGTTTTCCAATTAATAACTTTCAAAGGACAATATATTTATGTTGTTTTTAAGGAAAGATACTTTAAATTAAATAAACTCAATAATCTATGTATGAAAGAGTGAGAAAACTTCGTAAATCAATGATTGAGTTCATTTCTCACTAAAATAAAATTAACAATGAAAGACAGTTCTTGCACTGCAATGTTTGTATTATATTTGATTCTTAATCATATTTATCTGAATTATTAAAAATTGTCAATTTTTTTACAATTGGTGGCATATGTCGATAAATAATAGTGAATGTAATTCCTTTAACTATCTAGTAACTAACATCAATCGATTGCAAAATTAAATTAAAATTATTACGAGGTAGAAACAAAAACAGCATATCAGTAATCAATAATAAAAACAAAATCCATCGTCAAAACTACCACTGAAAAAGTGTTTTAACAATAATTTAAATCTCGAAAATGACACCAAAGAAATAAATTTGCTTTTCAAAAAGTACATAGTTGGAAGAATTCTATCGTATCATAGAACATTTCACTCTAAGCCACAAGGGTGCTGGCTGTTGATGATTCACTGCAATAAAGATAAACCAAGCATGTATTAGAAAACCAAGAGGGGAACACAATAAGTTGGTATATCTGATATTAAGAATAAAGAAAACAAGCTGAAACATCAAAATCCGTAATTGATGACAGTTCAACATGATTACTACAAATAACTGCAATAAAAAAAACTCTTAATCAATGAAGATGTTTAAGGCAGCGCAAATAAATTGTTAAAACTAGAAGGAAAATTGGTTCAAAAATTAAGAGCCAGCGATCCGTGTAAATTGATTGAAAACATCAATACATTCACAATTTCTAAAGATAAAATATTGAAACAAAATCATTGGTGATCCAAAAATGTATTAACACTTCACAAATATGGTTGGCATCTAAGTTATAGACATTGAAAATTAAAACATGCTGAAAACAACCATATCATATAATCAGGGTGCATCTCATAAAAAATAAAAAACTGAAAATAGATCATAAATCAAACATTGTTAAACATTGAGGATTTGAGGTTGAACAATTGTCAACATTTGTCCATTATAGAGGATAGAAGTTGAGACTTACTATTTCCACACAGGTGGAAGCTGCTTTGTCTTCTTGTAGTAACGGGCAAGGCGGTGAATCCTACTCTCAACCAAAATCAACCTGAATTTTGAATCCTTGTCCTTCCTATTCCTCTCCAAGTGCTTCCTAATGGATACAGCCTTCTTGATCAGGTGATACAAATCTTCAGGAATTTCAGGAGCAAGCCCTGCAAAAGAGAAAAGCATTCCAATTGTCAAAATACTAAAAGCAACACAATATAACTTAAAAAGCAACAATGGGAAAACCATACCATGGCCTTTCAAGATACGGAGAATCTTGCTAACAGTGACACTCTTCACTTGTGCAATTCCATGAGAGTCACGAAGAATAACACCAATTTGAGATGGAGTGAGACCTTTCTTGGCAAACTTGCAGATGTTCTCCTCCACCTGTGAAATTCAAAATATCACAAAGAAAGCAACATAATCCATAACTGCACGCACTGTATGATTAAAATACCAACAAACCATCAAAATTACAAACCACTCAGAACTCTTAATCATTTGTATCGAGTATTAGTGGAGTAGTACCAGGTTAAAACATAAATACACATGACAACGGTTTTAAAAAACAGGTTACAACCGCAATTGCAGCTACAATGTGGTCCAACGGGGCATCGATGCATCGCACATAACTTTTTATTGCAGCAGCATCATCTCACAATTATACACGAGAACAAGGTTTTAAGCATTGTTTCGGAATTTTTGCAAAAACAAAGGTTTCGACATTGTTTTACAAAAATTCAAAATAACAAGGTTTCAGCATTGTTTCCCAAAATTACGCAACAACACAGATCACAACAAAACTGTAACAACATACACAACCTACGACCTTGCACATGACAAATGCTTGAGATAAAATTACAACAAATTTGCCAATATGAAAGAATAATCCTTAAATCTAATCATAAGCGTGTAAAATAAAGTAAACTGAACACCAGCAATCCACACATTACAAAACTACATGAAAATACATTTTTTTTTTCAGTTAATAGACACAGTTTTCGAGCATCAAAGAAGAAGGGTAACATTAACACAAACTCTGGCGGCAAAACATGAAGAAAGGTAAAAGGGGTGTCCATCTCTTACATCCTGAGACGAAATCTTCAACCAGCTAGGTGGCGTCCTCTTGTATGGAAGAGCCGAACTGGAAATACCCTTACTGAAAACAAAAACATTCAACAAACCATTACACAACAACAGCGTTAGATGAAAGGGACAAGAAAAAAACTCTCTTTTCCTGAATCTCTAACGTGAAGAACATACCCTCGACTGTGCATACGCCCCATGGTGACTGCGTTTGAAGAAGAACGACACCCTCTGTTCCTCTTTCTACTGCGCCTGCAGCGAACAACTAGAAGAGATGGAAGAGAAACCCTGAGAATATGAAGGTAGAGAAAACTAGGGTAAATTGGATCGGCCATGATTCACTTGGGCTTGGCCCAGTTGTTTTATGTACTCCGGGGCCTAATCAAGGCTCCATTCAGTGAAGTTCAATTTAGGGATAATTAATGGAAAGAATTAATAAATAGAAACACTTCAATTACTTTTTACATAATTATTTCTTGTGAAATGTAAAAGGATAAATTGAAAAGAAAATTATAAATTTTTAATATTATTGTATCAATGATTTAAACAATTTTTTCATCTGAGGATATAATATAGCATTACACTATTTTTTAATAACAAATTATTAGTATACTTATCTATATTGGATATATTTCAAATATATAATTATAAAATAATTATCAATATATTAATTTATAATTATATCAAAGAAAATATTCTACAAATCGAATATCTTATTTATTTAATATAATATTTATAATAATAATTTTTTAAAAATATTCAATTATTTTTAAATATTTTTAAGATTTATATATAATAACAAAAAATGATAGAATATCTAATTTTATTTCTTATCATTCTAATAATTATTATTATGTTATTATTTTATTATTCACTTGATTTACGGAATCTACTCAAAAGTGGTTAAATTTTCGGTAAAGCCAATTATGTCAGGATATTGATTTTATAATAGTTATCTTTTAAACTTGCCTTGGCTCAATTTTTATTTACCTGCTATTATATTAAATTTTGCTCCTTTTCTAATTAATTATTCTAACTAGACCCTGGCGACCTTGATTTAGAACTCTAATGGCCCAACTTGGGCATGAACACCTGAACCAAAGTCCGCTACAAGGAAGCAAATTTTGATGAACCTTAGAGCACGAATATACTACTGTAACTTCTCGACTTGTTTTGCAAATGATTTGACTGTAAAACCGCAATAAATTTTGTTAGTGGTCGATTCTCTTGATTTTTTTCAGATGTTTTTTATAACATGTTCTTGTACCTCCAATTATTTATAAGAATGAGTTTTTTTTTAATATCAAAATCTAGTTTAAAATTTTGAGGTTAAAATCCAAGCAATAGGCTAGAATCTAGATAGAATACAGTCATTGTATGTTCAACCATTCTTTAAAAGAAATGAATGAAGTGAGTGTGAAAGAATCCTCTTCGATTTTGTCAGGATGGGATGAAATCCCAACCCTGGTTCAAGAAGAAATTCACTTTTCATCCACATTGCACGAGTTCCCAACTAAAACAATATCACATGGATTAGCTTCAAAATAGGAATTTACAAACTACTTAACAAAGAATAAATCTCAGTAACCTGAGGGTGTGTTCTGTCTTGTACATAGAACTGGTGAACTGTTCCCCCAAGTTCGATATAACTACAGCCTGGAATTTTCTTTAAATGCCTTTCTTTCATTTCAGTTCTAACCCTCTTTACACTGTTCCACATGCCCAAACTGGCATAAATATTAGACAGGAGCACATAGGAACTTGAACTGCATGAATATAGCTTAGTCAATTGCTGAGCTATAGGCTTTCCTATAGAGAAGTTCTCATAAAGTTGGCAAGCACTAAGTAAAGTCTTCCAAATCACATCATTGGGTTCAACAGGCATCTCCTCAATGAGTTTCTTGGCTTCTTCAACATGCCCTGCTCGGCTAAGCATATCCACCATGCATCCATAGTGTTGCACTTTAGGTTCCAGCTTGTAAACTTTTTGCATGACCTCAAAACATATCATTCCCTCCTTCAACATGCCAGCATGCCTACATGCACTCAACACTCCAATGAATGTTATATCATCAGGAATAACAGAAAACCTTCCCATCTCCATGAGAAAATCAAAAGCCATCTCACCCATTCCATGAATAGCTAAGCCACCGATCATAGCATTCCAATGATCAACACATTTTTGTTCTACATTCTCAAACACTGAGACGGCATCCTCAATGCTACCACACTTCGAATACATGTCAATTAGAGCAACACCAAGCTTGCCATTCAGAGAGTACCCCTTCTCCATCAAATACTGGTGTATCACAAGTCCATCTTCAACACGTCCTAATTGTGCAAACGCTGTGAGAACAATCAACAACGTAGTATCATCAGGCAACACATTCGCTGCCTTTTTCATATCATGAAATATTTTCAAAGCCTCAATGCAATAACCATTCTGAACATAGCCAGCCATCATCGAATTACAAGAAATAACATCTCTCCTTGGCATGTTATCAAACAACCACCTCGCAGCAAGAACATCACCCCATTTGGCATAACCGTCAATCATGGTAACCCAACTGACCAAATCCCTTTCTGGCATCTCATCAAACAACTTCCGAGCATCCTCCATCCTCCCGTGCTTCACACAACCATCAATAACCGTGTTCCACGAAACCAAATCCCTCTGCGGCATTTTAACAAACAAACTCCAAGCAAACCCCACACCCTTCTCCCACCTCACATACCCTCTGATCATCGAATTCCAAGTAATCAAATTCCTCTCCTCCATACCATCAAACAACTCACGCGCCCTTTCAACCGCCCCACACTTCACATACCCACCAATCATCGAATTATACGAAACAACATCCCGGTCAGGCATTCTGTCAAAGACCTTCCGTGCAAGCTCAACACACCCACATCTCACAAACAACCCGATCAAACAATTCTGCAAAAACACATCAGACCCAAAGTTCATTTTCAACAGCAACCCACAAACCTGCATTCCCTCTCTGACCAAACCCACTTTCGCACAAGCCTTCAGAGCCAGGGAAAACGAGTACGCATCCAGACGCACCCCATTTTCGAGCATCAAGCAGAGCAGGACCAGGGCCCCTCTGGGGTCACACCCATGAGAGTGGGACCTGATCAAAGCGTTCCAGAGAAAAGGGTCGCCGCGAGGGTGGCGAAAAGCGTGGTGCTTGAAGAAGACGTAGCGAGCGAACTCGACAAGAGGCTCATGGGGTGAGGAAATGAAAGAGAGGACGAGTCTGGTGGTAAAAGAAGGGATTTTTATGAACCCTGTTGTGATGATGCGTGCGTGGAGCTGGTTCACTTCTTCTGCGGTTGTACATTTTGGGAGTGTGGGAATGGCAGACACCCATGGCTGGTGTGAAGAAGAACCAACACAAACAAGCATCAATGGCACAAAGTTTTAGATATTTTTGTTAAAAAGTGTGTACTTTAGTGTAAAGTTTTTTGGTACGTTGAGTGACCAATTTGGGCTAAGTAAAGGTGGTGTAGTACTATAACTCTTCCATACTTTCATTCAACCATCTAGGGTGGCTCATTGCCTCCCATTTGGATAAGGTTATCTTTGTTTCCAAGGAAGAAGGAAATACATTTTTTTCTCTTCATTCCTTTCAATGTTTTGCTTTCATCAGTCCAAATCTCAGTTTTGAAAGAGTTGAAAATAGAGGACTCATTTGGGTTAACCTCAAAAAGCTTAATTAGTGCTTATAATATACTCAAGATACTCACAATGTTTTTAGATTAGTATGAATGTTTCAATTCCATGTTTAGTATATATAAAAGTATTCATGTAACAAAAAAAAAAAAAAAAAGAGTGGGGAAATTAGTGCTAGAGTCATGTTTGGTAAATTTTTCTGAACCTTTTTGCCTTTTGGGAAAAAGGATTCATCTTTTATTTCTTTGCATTTTTTTTTTATTATTTGCTTGAGAAACTGTTTGGCTGGTTGCAATATCAGATATTTGTTTGCCACTGCCAAGATATTTTGCTGTATAGCTTCATCTCAAAGTATTTCATTCAAGGATACAAATAATTTAAACTTCCTTGCATCTCAATTTGCAAAATTTAAAGACCAAAATATCTGATCTTATAAAGGTTATTTTACCTTCACAAGAAAATGTCTCATCAAACATCTAATATAAATAAATAAATAAATACCAAAATTAAAACAGTCATACATTACATTAATTGACCCAGAGGTAAGGAATGTTTGGTAGATAAGATTTCAAGGCGTTCAAACGTGCTTTTAACACTATCGTACCTTTAATCAATTTGGTACACTAATCTCACTTTTCCATAAAACTTACAATTTCCGTCTCTATCAAGTGTTTGTCATACCAATAAAATAATTTTTGTTGACTTTACCTCAAATATTTAATATAATTAAGAGGCAAACAAAACCGTGACCGCTAATTATGTTGAGGTTCATCACACCATTAATTTCCGTTATTAAAAAAATTGCATACAATATAATGATTTATAACTATTACTTTTAATAATGAAAATATTTAATATGGTACTTTCTTTTTCCTCAAGACACTTTTCAACTTTCTTAAATGTTTTTGCATTATTTTTCTTAAATTTAAACTGTTTCGTACTTTCAAAATAGTTTTTTTTACTACGTCTTGCAACTGCTTATTCTTTTCAGTTTATATATTTTAATTTTTAAAATTTAAAGTTATTTCCATATATAATATTTTATAAAAATAAATGAAAGTATTAATTTAAAATAAATAAAATTAATGCTTAAAATTTTATAAAACGCACTGTAATTTTAATTTATTAGATCACTAAATTAATTTATCAGCTCCAAAATAAAATCAGTTTATACCTAAGTGAGCTCATTTTTGGAGTATTTAGGTTTTCAAAAGTAGATGTAAAAGAAAAAAGATTGGACTTTTTTCCAAATTCAACTTAAAAACCACTTGCCATATATTAAATTCTCTTGCCAAAAACAACACAATGCATTTAAATACTGTTTTTTCATTTTAGTTTCATATTTATAAATATTGGCCCGTAGTTTGAACTGTGGTTTTGTTTTTAGCTGCAAGTAGCTTGGAGTATTACGACATCCTTAAAGACATGAAAGAAAAAAAAAGTGAGATATGTTGTTTTTGACTTAATAGAAAATGATGGAATCATTAGTAATATAACATAATTATGTTCATCACTTAAGTTATGTTAGCAACTAAACTAAGATGTTACTCATGGAGTCATCATCATTTGCTGGTTTGTCTACATGACATTTTTTTATTATTATTTCTAATTCATATAGTTAATATGAAAACAAGCAAGACTCAACAATTTACATAAATT